TTGTTTATTAATCATAAAGCACATGATTAATAATAAGCAATATAGTGGTGCGTTTTTTTTGGAAGCCACTGTATAAGAGTTTTAGTGCAAATCCGTTAACAGCACACGATTTTACATTACTTATCTGTCGTAGCTTTCTATATATACTTGTTATGATCTTCCGTAAACCAATCATCAAAAGTAAATGAAATGTTTATTTTCTTATCATCTTGGTATTCTCGAGGAAAGGGATAAAACTGTTGACAATTAACATCTTTACTTAGGGTTAGCCCTTCATAGTAATTTTTTAAATAATTAAAGGCATGAAGCAATGCTTCAAATAGTCGTGTTATCCTTCTGTGATAACTATAATGATGAAATGGTACCAGAGGTATGAAAGTAGTGAGAGGATCGATTATTCCTTTTTCAAGATAGACCGAGCCCAAAATGCATATCCACGGGCCAGCCAGAGCAATTATTATCGATGGACTAGTGTTTCAGGTGAAACTATTTTTCAACATCCGAAACGTTTCGCCCAGAGAATTTTTCTATGATCCAAAACTATCTGAAACCTCCGAAACCCTAAATTTGGAAAGATTTTTGCAGATCAAATTGGCGAAACTAGTTTCGCCCGAAACACTACGATGGACAATTGCAACTTCTTCGAAAAAACCTAAACTTTTCTTGGGCCCAACGCTGAACATACGACAATGATCCTTGTATTGTAGGATCACAAAGTCCAGTTCCGATCTCATTTTTTATTTCAAGCAGAAATAATAATGCAGATTCGTAAAACGATTCAACAGGTTCTGTTACAACACCATCGCTACAAGTTTTGTCTTTATTACTAATTTTCTCTATAGGCCAAATAATCTTTCTCAGATGTTTTTCAAAACAATCAAGAAGATCATCCTCAGTATCATAACCTTTTGACATATCTTGAATAAGAGGATCAACCATTTTCAATACCTCTTTTGAAATAGGCAAATCTTCGTTTCTAAAGTCAGTAACGAACTTATTGAAAACCTTATTGTAAAAAAATACAGGTGGTCCCAAGCACTTATAAGGACGATGATTTAGAATAGCTGAATAGGGGTTCTGGACTTCATTGAAAAATACTGAATGGCGTGCAGATACTAATGGTGGTTTCATGTTCAATATCTCTTGGATATTCTCATCTTGAACATTGTTATAATTTTGAGTGTTAAGGTTTAGGCTAGAAAGTTGATGACCATCAAGCTGTTGTTGTTGTTTCAGTGTCTCCACCTGCTTTCTTAAGTCTGCTACCTCTTGTTCTAATTCACTTATTTTCTTTTTTTCTTTCTTCTTTGATGGTGGTTCATTTTTTTTACCTTCATTCTGCGTCCTTTTTAAACGGTTCTAGAATAAAGTATATAGCATAAAGCTTGTGAATAAGATTCTTAATTGTAAGGACTAGGAAAGAACATAGCCAATTCCTCCTCCGGAATCGGCAGACCTAGTCAAAGAATTATGTGCACGTCGCATCGATGTAGTCCAGACACTCTTCTCCCTCACACTAGCAGAGCAAGGTGTAGCACAATTTTTATAGAGAAAAATGTGCATGTCGTGGCGTACATGTATAGACGCTCTTCTTCCCCATACTAGCAGAACAGGGCGTAGCACAATCGTTAATATTTTTCAAGAATGTGAAAAATACTAAACGTTAATCGTAACTATAGATGCCTGCCGAAACCTCCTCAAAATAATTTCGTCATATCCTTTTCTATGTTATTAATATAGTTTTGACAGTTTCAGCTTTCGTCGTATCGAATGGGTTTCGTCGTATCCCTTATTATGATTTTAATATA